TTGATTATTAATTAATCATATGAACTTGAATCTAACTAAGAAGTTTTTTGCAATTTAAATTTTAAATTCAAAACTAAAAATCTTCTATATAAAATATGAACAAACAACAAAAGAAATTAAAAATCGAACTAGACACAGAAATAGACATAAATAATTTAATATTTATAATTTATAAATTCTATTCATTCAGCAGCTAGTCAATTAAGTTTGACTTTGTTTTGTATTCTATCCCAGATTTTTTTGTTTTATTTGCTTTATTTAATTAATTTCATTTTAACTATTAATATTGTTATTATTATTACTATTTGTTGATGTGTGTTAGCTGACGAACTGGATGGCTGGTTGGTTGGCGGTCTAACTGACTTATTTGCTGAACAACATATAATCAAAAATGTTTCAATATTGTTGTTATAAAGAGAGAGACAGAGAAAAAAACAAACAAATATAGACAAATAAATTAATTTAAATTTTATATTCACCACGCGTTTTTAATGATAATAAAACATGTTTTATTTTCTATGATTTTATTATTAATTTTAATTTAATTTTTATTGATTTGTATAAACACTCTACTTTAGTAAATGTATAGCATACCAAATTTAGTCAAACAATATTTTTGCAAAAAATATTTTTAATTGAAAACTACACAGGCCGACAAAATTTGAAAAAAAGTCATTAACTGAGACCAAGTTAGAAATTTCCATTGGCCCTTTTTGAGACTTTATAACAGTGTCAAGACAACTTTAGATATATCTTATATATCTTCACCTAAATCACGAAAACTCATAGTTTTTAGTGTGGACGGTAATTCGTAAATATCTGACGATGTTCCAATCGACTTAAACTCACTTTCTTATTCGACTTAACGATATCTGTCCGTCCGTCAGACAGAATGGACTTTCAGTTGGCATACAAACATTTTATAAATAATGTTGTCTTCAAGTCAAAAATTGCGTTTTTCAGACTTCAGGATACGATATCACAAATTCCTGAAGTGGTGGAGAAATTCTAAGGACAGATTTGAATTCAGCGGAACCCAAATACCAGATTTGGTATTTGGGTTAAAAATTTGCCGGACAGTGTTATTATTATAAAAAATAAACGTAAAGTAGGATTTTAAATACAAAAACTGAATTTTAAATATAAAAATAATTTTTAGTGAAAAATTTGATTTTAAATGAAAAATTTAAAAAAAATCGGATTTTTAGTGAAAAAAAGATTATTTAGTAAAAAAAATAATTTTTAGTGAAAAATCAGATTTTTAGTGGAAAATCGAATTTTAGTGAAAAATCATATTTTTGGTGAAAACTCTTATTTTTAATGAAAATTTAATTTTTAGCAAAAAAATTGTTTTTATAATTACACAGACCAAGGATGAAAAAGCTTTTTAAAGCTTTATTTGGTGTGTTGATTCTGAAAATGGAAATAAAAGAAGTCCTATCACCCACCAATTTTCCATATTTTGATCTTTTAGTCCTCGTGATTGTATACTTGTGTCCAACTAATTCAATTCTGTAATTTTGCAGATGTAGCGTCTCCGATTTTAGACTTAAACATAGTTTCTGGAAAAAATTAGTACGATAAGACCACGTGCACCGGTAGAATTACATTATAGCTACATACATAGTGTAAACTGTGTATATAGAGGCAAACCTGTGTTAAATTATTCACTTCTAATACTAATCTTTAATACTTAAATGTAATAAATTATATTTATTTTCTTAATTAATTAGAAATTCTTTTTTCTGAGAAGTAAAATTTCAAGTTCATGTTTACTTACTTACAACTTTGTAAGGTATTTTATAGTCGTTAAATACCAATAATTTTATTAAACAACTTTTTTTTCTTAAATTTCAGCTACTAGTACATGCATTTTTTTGTCTTTTTATTTATTTGCATAAATTTAAAAAAAAAGCGGAAATATATTTCTTAAAGTTGATATCTTTGATATTTCTTTGGTATTATTTATGTTAATAATTAATAATAAAATTTAGTTTGTTTTAAAAATTGTTATAAATAAACAAAATTTGGTATAAACTCTTCTTTTAAGTACGTTTTTTTTTTCTCTTAAAATGGGTTAAATATTAAAGCTGATTTCTTATTTTTTGGTAACAGTTGTTCATGGCTTTTGTATTAAATTTCATTGTTCATTAGAAAGTTCTTTTTTTGTGCTTAAACTTAAAATATTCAATACAATATATGTACAAGTGAATACAAAAAATTCTTCAAGGTTATTTAAATTGTTTAAAATTTCAATGAAATTTTGTTTTTGTTTAGAAAAATAATAATAATTGTACTAAACTTAGAAAGAACGTTTATTATTGTCGTTTTATTAAAAAGTCAATTTTAAATTGAACTAAATAATAATTATTTCAATGACTTTAAGGTTGTTTTTAAAAAATATCGATCAATAAAGATTTTAAATTAAATTATAAAAAAAACTTGAATGGGCGCAACATTATAAGTTTATAAATAGAAATTATTTCCAAAGTGTAGCCAATTTTGTATGAGTAAATTCTTAAACATAAAATCTAAAGTTTAAATAGCTTACCAAGGAAATTGGAAAAAGTATGCATTTTTTATGTTATTCTGGTTAATTCAATTCAAAATACAATTCAATTTTTGTATTTTTTAGAATTTATATTTTTAATTTCGTCACATAAATTTTACATAAAACACACACACTTTGTTGCTTAAAAAGAAATTTCACTTCTTGGCCAACAATTAATTTTAAAAAGAAAAATACATTTAATTATAATAATTTGCAAATTTCAGCACAATTATGACAGCAACAAAAAATGCACTGAACAAAAAAAAGACACACACTCTCACCTTAAATTAAATGAGACAAAAAAAGTTAGCAAGCAACCTTCAAAGAGAAGTAAACAAATAAGAAAAGAGCTAAACCAACCGCTACAGAGTAACTAATTGACTAAACGACTAACAGACGAACTAACCATAAGTACCACCAACTAGACAAGTTGGTTGTGTCGTGTTGTTGCCAACACTAACATCGATCGATAGATGGATCGTTAAGTTAAGAGAAATATTAAAACCCAGTATGAATAGACTTGTCTGGTGTTTTAAGATGTTCATCAATATATTGTACGTTCAGGTAGAAAAAAAACACATAACCGCGGTAATAAACTCAGACTAAACGGAGGCTTTTTAAGCTGTCGTCCGTCCGTCTGATTTAATAGTATCTCGTACATATCGCTGTGAGATACAAAACGACACAATACAGTACATTACAAGACAATATGACAAGATACGTAAATGCAAATAAATATTACAAGTTGTATCTATGTAACTGTTTGTTTGTAACTTTAAATTACAAACTTATTTGACGCACCACACACAAACATACATACATACATTCATTCACTCACTCATCAAAAAAAATTCAAAGAAATACTTCAATTTTAAACTCATCTCATCACTTCACTGAAATGAAGTGAACCGAACTTAACTAAAGTTAAATTAACTTTGGTTTCCATGTGTGTATGAATATTTCCAAAATTGATGTTTAAACTTTGAACGCAGTACTACTATGAGAAGAATATTATGTTTGTATCTTTGTATAGAGTATTTCAAATTTATTTAACAACGCTTAGCCTTTGGCAGAAGTGATGTGATGCGATTGTTTGCTTTGATTTGGTATGCTTTTTTGGTTTGGTTTGCTTCGCTTTGCTTTGGATGGTGTTAGATAGATGGTTAGTTAGTTAAACAGATACTCACAAATACAGTCAAACGACTAACCGACAGTCAGACAGACAAACAAAACGATTGATGATTGTATGAATGATAATGATGGAAATATTTTTTGTTTTTATTATGAGTTTTTTTTTTTTTTGCAAATGTTTAACAGACATTCTATGTCGTATGAGAAGAGAGTAAAATAGCTTTATCCAAAAAAGAAATAAAACTAAACAAAAACACTATATATACATACATTACAGGTACAGTGGGATTACTATAATAATATTATTTTTTAACCTGTCCATAGTCTAGTCTATAGTCTAGTCTATAGTCTAGTCTATAGTCTAGTCTATAGTCTAGTCTATAGTCTAGTCTAAGTCTAGTCTATAGTCTAGTCTATAGTCTAGTCTATAGTCTAGTCTATAGTCTAGTCTATAGTCTAGTCTATAGTCTAGTCTATAGTCTAGTCTATAGTCTAGTCTATAGTCTAGTCTATAGTCTAGTCAATAGTCTAGTCTATAGTCTAGTCTATAGTCTAGTCTATAGTCTAGTCTATAGTCTAGTCTATAGTCTAGTCTATAGTCTAGTCTATAGTCTAGTTATAGTCTAGTCTATAGTCTAGTCTATAGTCTAGTCTATAGTCTAGTCTATAGACTAGAATAATTTGACTAGTTAAAAAATAATTCTGAGACAAAAGTCATAATAACAAGACATGTCTAGTGCAAACATGTCTAGTACTAATGAAACTTAAAAATAACTTTATTTATATTCAATTGATATTTGGAAAATGAATAATAAATTTTAAAATAAAAAAGTAACGGAAATTCCATTCTCGACAACATGTAGCGTTAAGTATTTCATATCGCTTGTTAGAGACACGTGTTTTAGGACGGCTTTTAACATTTTCTTTACGATATCAAAAGGTTGGACAACGTTAGTTTTTATTTCTGATCAGAAAAATATGAATATTTTTCATACATTTTATTGCACTATACCTTTAACATTTACTAAAATACCGTGTTTCAAAACCTCGATAAAACAGTATCGAATTTGGTTTTTTAAACTCAGAAAAAAATTATTAAAGTAAAATAAAATTTACCAATATTTTTCTTTAAAATGTCGCACTGTAAATTGAACTTTTCAGTATTGAAACAAAATACACAGTGTATAGAGCGTGTTTTTTTATGTTATGTGTTATTTATATTTCGTTGCTGTTATATTGTTGTTGTAGTTGAGTTGTTGTATTTTTTTAAGGGAACGTCGCTAACTCAGCACAAATTGTTTGAGCTCTACTGTTAGCTTAATGCTTTCAGTTTCATTTTAAACTTCGCAGGTGTTGTTTCGCAAAGCGGTTAAAATCATAAAATAATAGAGTGGAAAAAAGAATTTTATGCAAAAATAAAGAAAAATATTTTACAAAGATTTTAATAAACACAGAAAATATTAGAAATATTAAACAAATACAAACAAAAATTAAAAAACAACGTTTAGTGTCAATTATTTATCTAATATTTTCAATAAATAACAAAAGTATAAAAGAATTATTTGAGCTTTGAGTGTGAGTCTTAGAGAAAAACTAAACGGTAAAAAAAGTTTGTTGCTTAAGTCTTTTGTTTTTTCGTTTCTTGTGGATCTGGTTGTTTGGCTGACTTGACTGGCATTCCTTTCAATTTTATGCAAAACAGAATATAATTTATCAAAAAAATAACAACAAAATTGTTTGTTATGCAAATATTTGTTTATATTGCGTGTAATAATTCAAGTGCAAAATAAACATTTACAACTACATGACTACAACAAGCCAACAACTAGAAAAAAAATTAAAAAATAGCCAACATTTTTAACAAAAAAATAAAAGACATACATGTATAAACAACCTAACACATGTGATTGTTGTGCATGATGGTGACTAAAATCAACAACATCAACACCATCATCATCATCATCATCGTCATCCTTTAAATACACACATTATTCGTAAATGGCACGTGCTTTGTTTAAGTTGTTTTTGCATTTAAATGAAAATAAATATAAATAAAACTACAAATAAGCAAATAAAATAAAAAATAACGTTTTTGTGCATTTAACTATAATATATCTTAAAAGTGTGATAAAAATTTATTTCATTTCCATAGTTTTTTATGACAAATTATACAGATTAACAAAAGAAACATCAAAGAAAAAAATTATATTGTTAAAACCTATTTCCTAGTTGAAATAGAAAAAAATATATAATAAATAAATCAAATAAATATTTTTTAAAATATATAGATTTATACAAATCATTTGTTTGCTATTTACATCAGAGTTCTTCTATTCATCAGTTCAGTTCTGTTCAACTCAAATCAATTCTGTTTTGTTTAACAAAACAAATAAGGCAAGTATTTATAAACAATTATTATTTGTTATTATTGAGTGTGTGTTTAGTAATAAATTTGTTTATGGATGACATTTAAAAAATGTGTTTTTTTTATTTCGCTTTTTTTTTTTTGTTAAATATCAAAAGTTAAATAGAATTAGGAAATTTGTTTAATACATACATACATTAGTACACACTTATAAAAAAGTTATGACTGTTGAAAAACCAGAAACAAAATATTAATTGTGTGATTTTGTAACCCTGTCTAAATGCCATTTAGTTAAGTGTTAATTCAAACAAAAAATGGCTAAAATTTTTTTAAAGATGTTCTGTTTATTAAGTTTCATTTACACCAAAGCAAGTTCTTTTTTAAAACTAGAAAAAATAGGTCAGTTTTTGAAATAAAGATAAGTGTATAAATGGAGTGTTAAATAATGCATTACTTTGTTGTTAAAAACTACACTCTTTATCAAAAATTTGTACAACAAATTTCTTAATAAAACTTAATAAAGTAATTAATGATTTATTGCAGGAATTTTGTAAGGAAAATGTGTGTAGTATACCTAAAATAAACCATTTATATATTTATGAATGCGGGGGTTAAACTTTCCATAGGATAAAATTAGGAAAAAAATATGCAGACGTAATAGGGGTAAATATGTAAAAAAACTGAAAAGTAGAGAAATTGAGTTTTACATTAAATATTGACCTAAAAGCAACAGAAATTGTAAGATAGTTGTTGGTAATAAGCATGAACATAAGTGCTGTTATGTATTTATATAATAAGTATATTTAAAATAATTCACCTCTTAGTTTCAGTTATCTATATGGGTAATTTCATGTCAAGTGACCCAACTTTTAAAATCGATCTCTTCCGATTTGGATGAAATTTGCACCAATGTTAGTACTATTGGATAGTAGGCCAGACACAAAGCACAGCTCTATCGGTCAAGAACTGCAGGAGCTAGAGGGGATCAAAGTTGGACATTTTGGTCATACAGGGTTTTATTCAAATAATAACTTTTATTCAAATAATTCCTTTAAGGGCAAAAGCTAGAGTCCTAAAATTTTTTACGGACAACTTTGACATCCATAAGCTTATTTATAGACAAAATGGGCGGAATGGTTGTAGTGGGCGTGGCACCTTCCATATTAAGAAAATATTAAATCAGTATATCTGAGAAAATATAACAGTTAGAGTCCTCAACTTTTTTAGGAGCCACTTTAGTGTCAATATGATTATTTAGGACAAAAAGTGGGAGGATTAAATGAATTGAATACAAAAATTCGTTAAACTTGTAAACTATGAGAGTTAAAATCTTAAAATTTTGTACGAATAACTTTAACATCCATGTTAACTACTACTAGGAGAGTGGCACCTCCCATATGAATAATATACAAAAATTCGTTTATCTGGGAAACTAATAGAACTACATTACTATTAATATTTTACACCAAGAACTTTAATATTCATCTGAACATTTTAGGAAAAAAGGCGAACTTTCATCAGGAGGGTAGGGTGGTTTGGAACACCCATATGTATTAAATAGAAAAATTCGTATATCTGAGAAACTATTATAGCTAGAATCTTCAAATTTTACATGAAGAACTTTGACATTCATGTGAACATTTAAAGAAAAATGGACGGAATGTGGGGCTTGGCACCTTCCATATGAATTAAATACAAAATTTTGTATACATATTTGGGAAACTATAAGAATATTCATATTTTCCATAGGCTACATTACAATTTTTATTAACGTTTGGAAATTTTGTCAAACTTGCAATAATTTGCGTAATATCTTCCATATGTAAAAAATTGTATATCTGGAAATAATAGTTTTCAGAATCTACAAAATCGTTAAGTGGGTTCTTTTATTTATATTGCTTTTACGGTAGTAAAGCACACTGGTTATAGCTAGTACTACTATAAATACATACATATGTATATGCACCTAATTTTTCGTGCACATTCCTTATGTTATGATTGAGGAGTATTTCTGCAAATTTGTGATTTTGTTCGATAAAAGTCATCGTTGTAAATTACCTTTGGATGCAGTAGGCCAAGTTTAAATAAATTTGATTTATATCTCTTGTGAGTGATTGCAACAAAAACACAAAATTATTACATTAAATAATACAAGATATATTTGCAAATTTTACGTGAAATTTTGAATTTTTTCAGTAACATTGACATTGAAATAAGCATTACGTGCTTATTTATGCATTTTAAGATGTTTAATTTTGTAGATTTACAAAAAACCATAACACTATTCATCTGATTATAAAAATCACATACCCAAAATGAAAAAGAAAACAAAGCATACAAAACACTAGTAACCCAAACGAAAAACTAGTTAGTAATTCAAAAAGTTGTATTTAAGAACAATATTTTGTAATAATTTAAACAAACATTAGCAGCAATAGCATCCTCAGTCATATTATATGATATGATATCATAATTCTAATTCTAAAATATATACATAGATAATTAACATTGATATGTTAAGAGGAGATCAACAAATATTATTAAATATGCATTAAAAACAAAAACCAAACATATTAAACGAAATATAAAATACACAGTCACAATTAATGAATTATTTGTTAAAATAAATAAAAAACAAATAAAACTGATATTTTCAAACCCAAATGAAAAGAGAAGTTTAAGCTTTTAAATAAATATACAAAAAATTCAACTAACCAAGCACCTTATATGTATTTCAATATTATTTTATTTATTTGTTTATTAAAATTTTTTGCAAAAGGCAGAGAAATATTAAAAAAAAAACAAATAAATCAATATGATTAACATTAATAAATGTTTAATTTAATTTTGATTAACACAGATTTTCAAGTGATTCATTATAATTTAAAATTATAACTGAAACCAAATACATAAAACAACTTCTATTAAGATATTAATAAATCTAAAAGATTTGTATGTAAAATAATATAAATTAATAACACGTGAATTTTTTAAATAAATAATTCATACAACGAATTAATCATATTTTTGAGTAAATCGCTCTAATGAAAAGAGAATATAAATATTGAAATTAAAAAAAAATCATTTATGAATACTACAAATATTTTTTATGTCAAGAATTTGTTTTATAGTTTTTTATTTAAATATTTCTCTTTTTTCTTTAATTTTGTTTATAATTAAAAAAAAATTTTGCTAATGAAAGTAATTTAGAAAGTGTTTACATTTGTTAACGATGTAAAATTACTAAAAATATTTAAAATATTTTTCTAATTATAGTTGATTGTGTTATTTTGTTTGCAAAATTTAAAACTTTGTATAGAAATGTGTTTATAATTATAAATGAACAAATACAAAATTAACTATAAATTAAGATAAATAAATTAATATTTGGATCTTAGTTTAATTTTAGGGTGTATTTTAAATAAAATAGTATCGTTGTGTTAATATATTCTTGAAGTTCCGTGTAAATTCCCAAATATGTGAAAAATATTTTTTTTAAGAAAAAACCTATGTATTTCAAAATTCGAAAAGTTTATTTATAAATGAAGGGCTTATTGCAGTAACACGTTTGTGTGTGAGTTATCAAGTTTCTGCATAAAGCCCTTTATATTCAAATGCATTTGGGCAATTTCATGTCAAGCGACCCAACTCAAAAAATCGATTTTGATGAAATTTGCACCAAGGTTAGTAATAATGGATAGTAGCCAGACACAAATTTTTAGCTCTATCGGTCCATAACTGCCGGATTTAGAGTGGGTCAAAGTTGGACATTTTAGTCCATTGGTCCATATTTTTGCTAGGACCAATAGGTGAAAAGTTACACTCATTTCAATAAAACCCTGTATGACCAAAATTTCCAACTTTGACCCCCTCTGAGACCGGCAGAGCTGAAAATTTGTGTCTGGTCTACTATCCAATAGTACTAACCTTGATGCAAAGTTCATCGGAAGACATCGATTTTAAAAGTCACTTGACACGAAATTGCCTATTTATGAATTCGCTTTTATTAATGTTAAATATAGATCTATTAAAATTTCATATTATGTTTAAACAATTTGTATAACTAAATATATAATTTAATCCTTACACGCAACTCAAAACGCAATAACTAAATGTTAACACATTCTAACTAATAATTTAATGTTTATTGTTTAAATACATACAAATACTACATCATTTGATTGTCTACCGACACTTCAAAAATAATTATATTTTATTAAAGTACAAAAACAAACACACAATGTGTCAGAGTTTTCACCTTGCACCCTAAACAACACAGCAATTTTGATTTAAATTGTTTTAAAATTAAATTACTAAAATTGCAAGGTAGATCAATTGAAACATATTATTAAATATTTAAATATTTAAACAGAAAATATTTATTAATATGTGTTTATTTTAAGTATTTCTAGAAATACATTTGGAATTAAATGTATTTCCGTTTAATTTTATAATTCTCCAGTCAAATAAGCCAATTTAAATCAGGGCTTATTAAAGAGTTTACAAGAAGTTTGTACTAAACACTTTTATATGTACTATGTAAATATATTATTCCACCTACATTATTTGTTCGATTAGAACAACATTCTTGAACATAAAATCACTTAAATAAAAGTAATATCATGGGCATGAAAACTAGACCTTGCAAAAGCAAATATTGCACTTTTTACTATTGGCATATAAAACAGAATTTTAACCCTTAAAAGTACAAGGAAAATATTTAAAATCTTAAGATCATAAGGAGTACGCACGAAAAAAGAAGAATAACAGTTATGTTCATATTTATTACCAACAAATATCTTAGAATTTTTGTTGCTTTTAAAAAAGAAAAGCAAAGAAAAACTAAATAAACAGAATAGCCATTTAGACACCATTGCATTTTTGCAATACGAGAGAAAAGGTCCTTCTACAAAATATCTATCAGTACATATACACTTACTACAAAAGCAACAATAATGTATTTTTACAATACTCAAAATAGTATAGCTTATTTGCACTGGGAATTGCTTTGTTTTTAAAATATTAACAA